GAAGTGCTATCAAATTGGAATTGCCCTCAATGTAAAAACAATGCTCCCAGATGTTCAAAACAAGATTCAACGCCATTGCGTAACATCAATACCGGCAGAGGCACTAAAAGACCTGCATTAAATTCACCGCCAAATACGACGGCTTTAACTGGCGCAGATGTAAAAAATATTGTTCAAGAAGTTATAAGAACCGAATTAAGTGGTATACTAAAGGAAATTAATAGTAGTTTAATGGAAATTATTAACAAAGAACTTAAACCTATCAAAAAAGAAATGAAAGAAATTAATGAGTCCATGAATTTCATAAATAACAGATTTGAGGATATTGAGAAAGAACAGGCAGAAGCTAAGAAAACTAGTAAGGAATTGCTTGAAGATAACCTTAAAATGAAAAGTATTATATCGGAACTTAACATGCGACTTCTTTCCGCGGAACAACGTGTTAATATAACAGAGCAACATTTGCGCGCAAATAATCTAGAACTTCATTGTGTGCCAGAAAGTAGAAATGAAAACTTGATTAGTATTATACAAAAGTTGGGAACTGTTGTAGGATATACTGTCAAAGAAAACGATCTTATATACTGCACTCGCACAGCTAAAATTAGTCCTGCTACCAAACGCCCTCGTTCTATTCTTGTACAACTATCTTCTCAATTTTTACGTGATCAATTTCTAGCCTCTATTATAAAATTCAATAAAAATAATCATCTTGACAAATTAAACAGTTCTCACCTAGGGCTTTCGGGTACAAAGACAGCGATTTATGTTGTTGAGCATTTATCGCCTTCCAATAAAGCACTTCATGCTGCTACCAGAATCAAGGCAAAGGAAAAAGGGTTCAAGTATGTGTGGATCAGGGGTGGTAAAATATACGTTAGAAAAAATGATGAATCACAATACATAGTTATTAAAGATTTAGGAACACTAAACAAATTGATGTAATATTTAAAATATGTATATTAGAATAATTTGTGCATGTACTCGGAAAACCTTACTGTAAAATTCAATAGCTTAAAAATATATTTTCAAAATTGTAGAGGCTTTCGATCTAAAACAAAAGAATTTTATTGTAATGTTTGTTGTAGTAATTATGATATTATAGTATTAGTAGAAACCTGGTTAAATGGCTCAGTGCTGAATGGTGAACTTTTTGATGACCGGTATGATATCTACAGAAGAGATAGGGAAAACTCTACTTACCACAGTGGTAAGGAAGGAGGTGGAGTATTGATAGCAGTATCAAAAAAAATTAAATCTAATCGTGTCGCCTGCTGGGAAAGCAAATGTGAAGACCTATGGGTTAATATTGAAGCTCCAGTAACCAAGACAATACGTCAGATAGCACTGTGTGCTGTTTATATACCACCACCAGTAAGTAGAATAACAATCAACTATTTTGTATCACATTGTAACGCTGTATTTGAGGAAATAAACTCACCTGTATGCATACTAGGTGATTTTAACTTAGGTAATATAAATTGGGGCATGTTAAAAAATACAAACACTATTCATACATCTTTACCAGCCATGAGTCAAGATTTAATTGATTTCTTACACATTAATAAACTTACTCAATCTAATCACGTAACAAATACTGGTCGTATATTGGACCTTGTACTTACATCCTTTAATTTATGTGAAGTAACCCAAGCAGTAACGCCCTTAAGTAATACTGAACATATACACCCTCCTCTAGATATCACTATATAACTATCGACAGAAAAATGTCTTCCTTACAGTTTAAAAAATAAAAAGCGTAATTTTTATAAAGCAGATTATGGTCCCATAAGAAAGCATTTGAATGAGGTTAATTGGATTGAGATGTTTAGTAGATTAAATGATGTCAACGACATGGTTAAAATCTTTTATGAGGTTCTGTATACACTAATTAAGGAGTATATCCCAATGAGCAAGAGAAGAAACAAACGTTATCCCGTTTGGTTCAGTAAAACTTTGATAAAATCATTAAATGAGAAAAATAAGACAAGAAAACGATATAAAATATATGGTAATCCTAGGGATGAAATTGAGTTAAAGTTACTAAGTAAAAGATTTCAGCAACTAGCCGCAAAGTGTTATAAAAATTATATAGAAAAAACAGAACAGCAAATACAAAATAATCCAAAACTATTTTGGTCTCATGTCAAAGAAAAGCGCGGTGGTACTAGCGGATATCCAATTGCTATGACAAATGGTCAGGAAACTACTTCTGATCGATTTAAGATATGTGAACTCTTTGCGAATTATTTCTCTTCTGTTTACAATGCAGACGGAGATAGACAATTTTGTATCCATGATTTCGATAATTTGAAATTATTATGGAGTAATAGCCAATGTTTGACAAGCCCGACTTTAGACTACAAAACTTTATTAAACAAGCTAGAAAGAGTGGATTGTAATAAAGGTTCTGGATCTGATGATATTCCGCCAATTTTCATAGCGTCTTGTGCATCGGTTTTGGTTACACCTCTATTGATTATATACAACAAATCATTAGCAACGGGAGTTTTCCCATCGAAGTGGAAAATTGCAAAGGTAGTTCCCATTCACAAGTCAGAGAATAAGAACATAATATCTAATTATAGGCCAATTTCAATTTTGCCAATATTCGGTAAAATACTTGAATCACTAGTTAGTCAACTATTGCAGACTCACTTAAAACTTTACCTCAGTAATAATCAACATGGTTTTGTTCGATCAAGGTCAACTTGCACAAACCTTGTAACTTTTACAGAGTCTTTGGTAAAAGCAATAGATGCAGGTAGGCAATATGATGTAATATACACAGATTTAAGTAAAGCATTTGATAGAGTTCCGCATAAAGTCCTAAACTACAAATTAGCCGTTTATGGGATCGCCGGATCATTGTTGGAATGGGTAAAGTCGTACTTAGAAAAACGTTCTTTTTACGTGGTCATAAATGGATTTCAATCTGATAATCGTATCATTTCCTCTGGTGTGCCACAGGGCTCAAATTTAGGACCAATATTATTTAACCTGTTTATAAATGACATTTCTAGTTGCTTTAAATTTTCGGAACCCTACATAATATATGCGGATGATTTAAAGTTTGGAAGAATAATTGAATCTTTAGAAGACTCAGTATTGTTACAGACAGATTTAAATAGACTTGTAAATTGGTGTAATCTTAACGGCATGAATCCTAATTATTCTAAATGTTCACATGTTAAATTTACAAGAAATACTAAGTTGATCAATAACCATTACTTCATAGGGAATAACGAAATACAAGAAGTAGAAGTGATAAGGGATCTTGGTGTATATTTTGACAAAAAACTAACTTTTGTACCTCATATTGATAGTATTATAAATAGATCTTTCAAAATGTTAGGGTTTGTCATAAGAAATGGTAGGTCATTTAAAAACCCTAAAACAAAAAAAATATTGTACAATAGCCTTGTAAGGAGTATAATTGAGTACTGCAGTGTTGTCTGGCGTCCCCACTATTCTACACATTCGTTGCGATTGGAGAGAGTTCAAAAACGCTTTATGTGGCATCTTACATACTCTGTTGGAAAAGCACTAAAAATATCATCTTATGCGGATAGACTTCAATATTTTAATATGCTTCCCTTATCGATACGTCTAAAATTAATAGATATTATGTTTTTATACAAGGTGCTTAGAAATGAAGTAGATTGTCCACAGCTTCTCGCCCAATTTAAATTTCGCACTCCAATAAGAATTCCACGCAAACCAATTCCACTTCTTTACCCACCACGTCGTAGAACTGTTCTTGGTGCGCATTCACCAGTCGCAAGGCTTTGTAAAGTATTTAATGAATGTAGTGAAGTCGTTGATGTTCATTTTGATTCCATATGTCAGTTTTATAAGAATTTATATAAGTACTTCAAACAATGTGAAAGTACAGATCGTGTACCAAATTGTTAATAATTAATGTAAAACACGTACACACACACACACACACACACACACACACACACACACACACACACACACACGCACACACACACACACACACACACACACACACACACACACACACACACACACACGCACACACACACACACACACACGCACGCACACACACACACACACACACACACACAAACACACACACACGCACACGCACGTGCACGCGCACTCGTTCATACAATATCAAATTATTTAAAATAAGAATTCCTTAGATACATTATATAGTACTAAAATGTAAATTGATAGCATGTTGTGATTACCTTTAAGTGATTGTACATTTAGAAATAACGAAACCGTAAATTTTAATTAATGATGTAATAATGTATCAATCGTTGGTAATCCTAATAAAAAGAAAAAAAAATGTATGCAAACCTACCTACAAGTACCAGTGCTGTACCTACTAAGTAAAATAATAGCTACAAACTAGTAGTATGTTTAATAACACCCCTTTTTTTCGTAAGGAGTAAGTTCTTTACAGGTTCCTAGTACCTAACCAAATGTTTTTTTTTTCACAGATACTCCTCAACTGCTTTACCTCAAAGAGTGAACTGTTCACATAAAAACCCAACGCTAAAATGTGCAACCCTGACAATGAAAGAACTTCTAAAATTTCACCAATCATTTTATGCCTCAAGAAAAAAAGCTGTCAAGATGCTTTTCTTCTTAAGTGCTGTCAAATAAAACAAATTAAAAGAAGGCGTCCTAACCAAAATAAAAGGCTTAGAAGAGATTTTCATATCCAGTACAGGATTTTAAACAGTCAGAATAAATTTGTAATTGTCTTCCAAACATTTTTTTTGAGTTCCTTGCAAATAAAAAAGTATAGAGTGGAATTTGTTATGAAGGTGTTTTACTATACAGGACAGATTGCTAAAGAAAACAGGGGAGGAAATCATAAAATAAACAAGTATAAGGATCAAAAAGATATAGTTAGGCAGTTTATTATTAAGTTAAATGCATAGAATCACATTACTGTCGATCTGCAACACGAGAACGAAAATATCTGCACAGCGATTTCAGTATAAACAAACTTTATAAGATGTTCAAAACCGAAAATCCTCAGTCTGTTGTAAAGAAGTCTTATTTTCGTGCAATATTCAACCAAGATTTCAATTTAGGATTCGGTAATCCGAGAACAGACGTTTGCTCGAAATGCATTGAATTGGATGGGAAAATTAAAATGGAAAACGACCAAGTAAAAAAGAAAGACCTCATGATCGAAAAAAGAGTCCACAGGCTCAGGGCAAAAGCATTCTTTAAATTGCTTCAGGAAAAATCAGACGATATGATCACTTTCTCATTCGACTGTCAAAAAAATAATCCCCTACCCAAAGTACCTGACCAAAGTGCATACTACAGTCGCCAAATATATCTCTACAATTTTACGATTGTTCAGGGTTCTTCAAAGAACGAATTTCCAAAAACATCTAACCAGATAGCCTCTGCAGTGTACGACCGTTTAAATAAAACTAATTTTGAAGGGATTAACACTGTTCGTCTTGTAGCTGATGGATGTGGCGGGCAGAACAAGAATAGCATATTGCTATGTATGCTGTCAAGATGGCTTCTCGACAACACGTCTCTGAAAAAAATTGAAGTCGTTTTCCCCATTACTGGGCATTTTTTCATGCCACCAGACCGAGTTTTCGGAAACATTGAAAAAGTCCTTAAAAAACAAGAAGTAATCATTCGACCTGAAGATTACATAGACATCATTGCAACAAATGCAACCATTACAAAAATGCGTGACATTTAAATGTTAGACTTCAGAAGTGCCGCAAAAGATGTCCTAAAACCGACTGCGAGATGGCATTTTAAAGTAAGTGAATGCAAAAGATTCATTTTAAAGAGATCCAAAACTGTTGGAAATGTGCTTATTCGTGGAGAACTGCATTTTAATTCAGATATAGGTAAAGCAGGAAATCTTTGTAAAACTGGAATGAAAAAAAATATGATTATCCCATCCACAGTGCCACTAGGAGCACCCATGAATCGTGCAAAAATAACTGATGTCGATGCATTATTAAAAAAGCATTTTGGCGCTGAATGGGAAACCAATGCAGAATGTCAGTTTTATGTAAATATTATAAGATCGCCAGTTATTCAAGAGGGGGATTCAGAAAGAGGGGAAGATGATAATGAAAACTATTGTGAATGTAGGGATGATACTGTGGATTTAAGAATTTAAATTTTGTTTGTGTTCAAAAAGAAGAAACAGCTGATTTAGTAATAAGAAAAGGTTTAATATAGTTCATAAGAATAGAATATTGTTTCTGAGAGTAAAGAAAAGTCTGATTAAAAAGAGAAAAAGTGTTGTTTTTTTGTTAACTTGTTGATGAACTTTTGTTTTTGTTGAAAAAGAAGAAACAGCTGATTAAAAGTAATAAATAATAAGAATAATTTAGTAAAAAGAAAAATTTTAAGTTCATAGGAATAGAATATTGTTCCTAAAGGAAAAGAAAAGTCTGATTAAAAATAGAAAACGTGTTTCTGTTTCATAACGATTTTGATTGTTATTTGAAGTTTTATGAACATTTTAAATATCTACATGAAAACATGTTTTAATTACTGGTCCATGCTATCGACATCTGTAGGGAACATCACTAACAATATACTCTGTGGCAACCCAAGTGACAAGTTGTAAAATAATAGCTCCCAACAATTTAGCAAAATTAAATATTGTAATTTGATAATATGCACCTCAATTTTAGTTAGAGTTGTTAAATAATACTTAATTGTGTTGGTAAAATAAGTAAAAGTCATAAGTATTTTAATTAAAAGTGTTTTGTGTTTCAACTAAAAGTGACAGCTGTAGGTAACGAACATCGTTTGAACTTTCTGTAAGCTAATGTAATTTTCTTGTTATCCCTTTAATACTTTAAGATTTACCTTTTAAATTAGTGCAGTTTCGGATTTCAATTTGAATTATTTACCTGATAATTTAATTTGAGATCTGTAAGTAGACCCATAGATCTAGATATTAGCTTACTCTGTTTCTTCGGTTTTCTTTCTTTGTTTTCTTTTGCTCTTTACACATAATAGTAAAATGAATACACGCAACGCCAAAACGCGCCAAATGGAGAACCAAATTCAAATGGCGCTTCTAGAACTTAAGGCGTCAAAAGAGCAGTGTGAGCTGTTGCTTAAAGAAAGGGATGACAACGAAAAGGAAATAATAAATATAACTGCCAAAAATAGTCAACTAAAAAGTGATATGGTTAAGTTGCATAAAGACTACACAAATGTTTTAAAAGAAAGGGATCAGCTTCAGGAAACAGTCGATGAGTTTGACCGATGCAGCAAAGAATATGAGGAATCCCTCAGATTAATTGCTGCATTGCAGTTGCAGTTAAGTGAGGCTAATGAGCAGATTTTGCAATTAAAACAATACTTAGATGAATTGAAAGTGTCCCAAACTCAAAGTCTGTTCAATGAGCTCATAGAATGTAAATCATCAAAAACATTGCATCCCTCCACAACAATCGATTTGACTGGTGATGATTTTGTCACATCTAGAACAGCAGAAATGATTACATGCAGTAGAAGAAAATTAAAGAAATACATAAAAATTAATAAATATGTTAGGAAAGTACAAAAGTTAATTAAAACAAAAATTAATACAAAAAATTATATAAATATATGTAAGGAAAAGCATGTATTAATTAATAAACTTAAATTATATGCAAATGGGGTGGAAAATATGAAAAACTGTTATGAGACTGAAATAGAGTGTCTCAATTCAGAACTTTTGTCGCTTAAAAACTTCTTACAAATTATCTCAAACAAATATGCATCGGCTCAGGTTGAGATAAAAGAACACATATTGGCCATGAATGATCTGGTTAAGTCATGTAAATACAATGAGGAGCGCTTTGACTCCTTAATAAAACATCAGAGTGAGAATCAACGCTCCATACCATGTTCATCGGGGACAATATGTGTAAATAGCAATGACTCCTTATTTTCACCAACACTCTATGACGGTGCCATAACACAGAATAAAAACTTAAAAAGTAGTTTAAATATTAAAAAAAACATAAAGTTATTATGTATTGTGATGACATAGGTAAAAATTTGGGCATGATGTTAAATAACCATTTGAAAGGACAATTGATTAGTAATTATTGTATGCCTGGAGCATCCTTTAGTCATATAATGAATAAAGTTTTAACCAGTAAGTTTTCTCCTAATAGCACATTAATAATTCTTGTTGGGAGAAGAGGCAATGTAAACAAAAATCAATTATTAAAATATATTGATTACCTCAATACTTTAAATGTACATAAAATTATCTTGTTTACATTGCCTTACATACAGGGTTGGCCACAGGAGAATAAAATAAGATATGATTTAAATTTATTAATGAATAATTTATCATGTAACAACAATTTAAATTTGACATTTAATTGTAACAATTATACCAATAGAATTAATTTAATAGATATTAATAATTTAATTAAGAAATTTTTGACTACAGATAGGTATTACCTATCCAAATATAATTTAAGACAGATAGCAAATGTGCTATCATATTATTTACATATTAACTCAGCCAAGGACTTGGCTACCCAGACATCTGCTCCTATTGAGCAGCATAATGATTTGACATGTAATTTGGAATCCGTTCCAAGTAATTTAAATTAGAAAATGAGACAATATAGGTAATCTCTAGCAGTTATAATAATTTAAATAATTTAGAATGTAGCTTGCAAATCCTTAATAGTTGCAATTGTATAACTCCACAAAATGATATTAAAAATTGTTTACACCTGGTGCATCAGAATATACAAGGCATGATAGGCAAAGAGCTAGAAATTGAATTGTTTTTAAATAGCAACAATATTCATATTTTATGTATTACTGAACATTGGTTAAAAGCTCATAATTTAATGTTTAACTTTAGTAATCACCAGGTGCTCAGTTCTTTCAATAGAGAAACGATTTTAAGAGGTGGCTCCTTAATTTTAGCTAGTAAATTATTATCATATAAAGAACGTAAAGATATTGTGAGCCTCTCTGTTGAGCGAACTGTAGAAATGGCATGTGTTGAGTTTGAGCACCTCATTGTTGTGAGCGTTTACAGACCCCCATGTTCTTTATATGATACTTTTGAAAAAATTATGGAGGAAGTTTTCGCTAAGCTTAATAAACAGAATAAATCTGTTGTAATATGTGGAGACTTTAATATCAATCTCCTAGAAGCTTCCTCCACTAATATTAAATTTAGATCATTGTTTAAATCTTATGGTCTTTTTAATTTATTTTTGGAGCCAACACGTATTGCTGAATCTAGTGCAACATGTATAGATAACATTTTTACAAATGTTAAGCCGTTCAATAAATGTATAATTCAAAAATTGAGCTCTGATCACTGTGGACAATTTGTTTCATTACCTTATGTTCACAAAAAGCAAGTAGATAAAAAAGTAGTGTTTGTTCCAGTAAATGCACATCGCTTGGAGAAGTTTAGAAGTAACATAGTAAAAAAACTTCCATTACTTTCATACCAAAATAATCCAAATTTTTTGTATGCAACATTATTTAAGCTCATTTGCAATGAATTTAATAATACTTTTACTTCTAAAACATTCTCCTTGAATAATCGTAAAGCATTTAATGAATGGGCGACGGTAGGAGTCCAGAAGAGTAGACAAAGGTTATATGAACTTTACAATGAAAGGTCATATAATCCTAGCGTCGAATTTAGGGAATATGTAAAAAAATATTCCAAAATATTTAAAAGAGTGTGCTCCTTAGCCAAGTCATTGTATTTAAGCAACAAAATAAAGACTGCTTCTAATAAAATTAAAATGACATGGAGTATAATTAATAGTGAAACTGGTAAGGTCAACTCTCGCAATTCAAACTACCAGTTAAGTTTTAACAATAAATTAACTAAATCAGATCAGGACGTTGCAATAGTTTTTGAGAAATATTTTACTGATATTCCTAACTTAACCACTAAGTCACTGAATTCTTCTCCTACCGTCGCCGAATCATTACTTAAACAAAATGTAAATGTGTGTACAAAGAATTTTACATTTCATAAAATTTCATCAAAAGATATTGTAAAATATTTTAAGACTATTGATATTAAGAGAACCGCCGATCTGTGGGGGATTTCTGTTAAAGTTACTGCGTCTATAATAGATACAATCGCACCTCAACTATTATTTTTAATAGTAGTATCAAATCTGGTGTGTTTCCTGATTTAATGAAGCATAATAAAGTAATACCTTTATTTAAATCTGGTAGTACATTGGACCCCGCTAATTTTAGACCTATTTCTGTACTGCCAACACTTAGTAAAATTTTTGAAAAAATTATTCTTGATCAATTGTTAATTTTTTTTAATGTAAATAAATTACTTCATAAAAATCAATTTGGTTTCACAAGGGGTCGCTCGACAACTGATGCTGGTGTTGAGCTGATTAAATATATTAATAAATATATTTAATGCATGGGAGAATTCACAGGATGCTTTGGGTGTGTTCTGTGACCTATCCAAAGCCTTTTGTGTTCACCATGAAACATTAATCAGGAAACTTCAACACTACGGTGTAAGAAATGATGCTCTTAAATTAATTATTTCATATTTAAGTGACAGAACACAAAAAGTTGTTATTAATAGTATGAGTTCTTCCGGGTCGATTGTACAAATGGGCGTGCCTCAGGGCTCAATTCTCGGCCCTTTTCTGTTTCTTGTATATATCAATGACTTACCTTACATAGTAGGGGATAACCATGATTATAGTA